TTATTTTGCAAACATCAACAAACTGATACTAAAGTTTATATAGAAAGGCAAAAGACCCAGAACAGTGAATTAAATATTGAAGAAGAACAAAGTCAGAGGACTGACACTACAGAACTTCAAGACTTACTACAAAGCTATAGTAATCAAGATAGTGCGGTATAGCAAAAATAAACAAATGGACTAATGAGACAGAATAGAGAGCCCAGAAAAAAACCCAGGTGAGTATAGTTAGCTGATCTTTGACAAAGGAGCAAAGGCAGTACAATAGAGAAAAGAGTCTTTTCAACAAATGGTGCTGGAATAACTGGACATCCGCATATTAAAAAATAAATGAATCTAGACACAGACCTTACACCCTTTACAAAAATTAACTCCAAATGGATGATAGACCTAAATGTAAAATACAAAACTATAAAATGCCTAGAAGGTAACATAGGAGAAAACCTAGATGACCTTGGTATGGTGATGGCTTTTTAGATACGTTATCAAAGGCTTGACAAACTGGACTTCATTTAAATTTAAAAATTTCTGTTCTGAGAAAGTCATTGGCAAGAGAATGAGAAGACAAGACACAGACTGAGAGAAAATATTTTCCAAAGACACAGCTGATACAGAACCGCTATCTAAAATAAACAAAGAACACTTAAACCTCAACAATAAGAAAACCATCCATTTACAAAACAGGCAAAAGACCCTAACAGATAACTCACCAAAGAAGATACATGAGTACAGATGGCAAGTAAGCATATGAAAATATGTTCAACATCATATGTCATCAGTGAATTACAAATTAAAACAATAATGAGATACCACTGCATACCTATTAGAATGGTCAAAATCCAAAACACTGACAACACCAAACACTGGTGAGGATGTGGAGCAAGAGGAACTCTCATTCATTGCTGGTAGAAATGCAAAATGTTATAGCTACTTTGAAAAACAGTTTCTTGTAAGAAAGGAAGTTTCTTACTAAACATATTGTTACCATAGTCCTTGGTATTTACCCAAATGAATGGAAAACTTATTTCCACACAAAAACATGCAGACAGATGTTTTATAGCAGTTTTATTCATAACTGCCAAAACTTGGAAGCAACCACAATGTCCCTTCAGTAGGTGAATGGATAAGTAAACTGTGGTATGTCTAGACAGTGGACTATTATTCAGCACTAAAAAGAAAAGAGCTATTAAGCCGTGAAAAGGCATCGAGGAAGAAACTTATATGCGTATTACTAAGTGAAAGAAGCTAATCTGAAAAGGCTACGTACTGTATAATTCCAACAATATGACATTCTGGAAAAGGCAAAACTATGGAGACAGTAAGATGACCAGTAATTGCCAGGGGTTGGAGCTGGTGAAGGGAGAGAGGAACATGCAGAACACAAAGGATTTTCAGGGCAGTGAAACTATTCTGTATGATACTGCAATGGTGGATACCAGACCTGGATACATTTGTCAAAACTCCTAGAACATACAACACAAGAGTGAACCTGATGTAAACTATGGACTTTGGATGATAATAATGTTTTAATGTGGGTTCATTGACTATAACAAATGTACCACTGTGGTGCAGGATGTAGTGGTATAGGTTGTTCATGTGTGTATAGGAGTATATGAGAACTCTATGTACTCTACATTCAATTTTGCTGTGAACCTAAAACTGCTCTAAAAAATAGTTTATTAATTTAAAATATATATTTATATATACTTTATAAAGACTACATGCATAAAAATATTTAAATATTTATTCCCTGTCCTTCATTAAGATAATTTCCAATGTAATTCTTCTACAGACCATTTCTGAGCAAGTAATTATAACTTGATTTCTGAGATAAGTTTTAATTTCACCACAGCATCTTTCCAAAGCAAAATATGTCTATATATGCTGGCATTTAAGAAATGCACTTATTTTCAGATTCTTGTTGCTTTGGGCAGCACCAGAATTTTCTTAATAATACACACACTAGCCAAAATACAGAACCAACCTAAATGCCCATCAATGGATAACTGGATAAGGAAAATGTGGTATACATACACCATGGAATAATACTCTGCCATAAAAAAGAATGAAATTCTGCCATTTGCAGCAACATGGATGAGCTTGGAGAAAATTATGTTGAGTGAAATAAGCCAGGCATAGAGGGAAAAATACCACACGACCTCATGCATAAGTAGCAGCTAAGACAGAAAGAAAGAAGGAAAGAAAGACCACAGCAGTGTGTTGGACTTGCAGAAGGAGACAGCATACCTAGGATTGTGGAGAGCATACCTAGAGAGAAAGGGGGTGGGAGGTCGGGGAATAACTGGTGGGGGACGTGGGGAATAATCACAATTTGTGGTAATAGGCATGCTGACAGTATTAATCTGGCCATCACATCTTGGGCACAAGTGGTGATGGTTAGCTTTACACTCCACGAATATGCATAACCAATAAAATAAAAAATAATAATAATACATACACTGACATATTAGACTTGACATGTAACAAGCAGTCTTAAGATCAATGCTTATAGAAAATCATCTATTGCCAGGTAATATTTACAATACAGGAGAATAACCATATTACCAGATTACGTAAATCTGAAATTTATTTCAAAAACATCTATAAATTTTGTAATTGAAAGGAACCACAGAGAACACTTAGTTCACTTTCTTCCACTTATGGTCTACTGCAAAAAATCCAAACTCATTATTTGCAAAAATGATCTCCATACTTTAATCCTATCTACATCTCCAGTATCATAATCTGCTACTTCCCACTAGACCCGTGTCAGCTATGCAAAAACTCCCCATTCTCTTATTAATTTGCTAAGTCCTTTAATAAATCAGTGATTCTGAACATGCTATTCCTTCAGTCTGAAATTCACCAAGACCCATCCACACTTAGCAAATTCCTATTATCTTTCACCACACTGTTTGAATCATAATCATCCAGAAAAAATACTTTTTAAAAAGTTTGAACATAGAACTCTGACTGTGGGATAATTCTAAGTACCCCCCCGGGGGGGGGGAACTTTAAAGAAATCTTAAACCTTAATAGGTAGGTAGGTGTTGTGTTATTAGTCTAGTAATTTTTTGTGTATTTTAAGATATAGCATATGAATGACTGATACTGGGAACTAGGGGTTTATTGTGGGAGAAAGGAGATTCAAGTATAGAATAAAGGAAAATAAGGAAGAGCCCTGTAGTGTTTGAATTGAAGGTATCAGTATGAACGTGTTTAAAAAAAGAAAAAAAAAAAAAGGACCAATCTGCAATGGCAAGAAATAGCAATGAGCAAAAATTTACCCAGACTTTGGTTTTTAAATATCACTCTCTACTAAAAAGGCAGTAGTACCAGGACTCTTAAAAAAGATGGCTGATTCAAGGTCTTGGGCAAAAAAAGTAAAAAGTAAGCCTGGGCATCATGTCATATTTTAATAAAGTGCTCAAAGACTGAAGAATCATGTCAAAAGGATATAGGAATCAGCCACTTGTCAAATTTGGGACAATTTTAGCATCAAAAAAGTTAAAATTTTTCAGCATCAAAAAATTAAAATGTACTTAAATTGTTACACATGGAATAAAAAAGAATTCTAGGTAACAAATACAGAAAAAATGTCGGAATTTTAAAAAAAGTACTCTTTTTGTAGCCCCCCAATGAAATAAATGATAAGTAAGGATCAGTAGTGGATGCTAAAAACAGTGAGCAAAAGGTTGCTGGGGTATTTCTAGGGTCTCAAAGTATCATCCTACATATCCTATAGATATTTGCTAATTATAAACAGGAAAATATACCTTTACAACGAAGAGATCTGGCTATCACCACCTTAACCAATGATAAGATTAAGCATCGCTAATAGTGGGACAACCTGAAATTATCTGCCTTGTGATGTGATGTACTGTGAAGTTCACATTACATATCTCCTATGTAATACAAACATATCTTCTATGTAATATTTTTGCTAAAAATGTTCATCATGAATCTAATCAAGGAAACAATCAGATAAATTTAAAACGTGAGAAATTCTACAAAACAACTACCACAGAGTCTTCGAAAAAAAAGTCAATGTCACGAAAAAACAAAGAAACAAACAGGTGAAATCATTCAAGATGAAAAAGACATATTAACCACCTGAACCTTGACTAGATACTGGATGATAAAAGTAAAAGAAAAAAACATAAAACATACTTTGGGGACAATTGGAGAAATTCAAATACAGGCTATCTATTAGATATTACTGAATTACTATTGCTATTCTGAGGTATAACAACGATAACATGGCTATAAAGGAGAATGTCATTCTCAGGAGATGTATGCCTAGATATCTACTTGAGAGTAGACTGTCAAAATATCTGCAAATTACTTTCAAATGGTACAGAAGATGTAGGGCAAATATGGCAAGATGTGTACAGCTGGTAAATATAGATGAAGTATATGGGTATTCAGTGTACTCATAACTGTAAATTTGGAATTTTAAAAATAACTTTGGTGGGGGGATCTCAGTTCAACTGTCACATCTTCTCTGAAAGCTTTTTTAACTTTTCTAATGGAATTTTTTTTCTATTTTCAGTATTCTCACAGAACTCTGTTTATACTTCTACTTTAGCACTTAACAAATTTGTTAACTGCCGGTTTATAGGTCTGACCTTTTTCCTAAACTGTGAAACTGGGCTTATCTTCATTCCCAGAACTTAGCTCTTTATCCGGCATCTCACTAGGTATTCAGTGTTTGTTGCATGAATGAGAAAACTGACATGCCAAAGCAACAAGCCAAAATTGAAATCCAGATATTGCCTATATCACATCATCCATCACATTAAATCAAATCCATCACACAGAAAGCCTATTAAATGGTCCTATGTGACCTATACCATTATAATGGACATCCACATCAGCGTTCAAATTAATGTATAAAACAAAGCATAACCACCCTCAAGCAGTCTCATCCTTAAGTCATCACAGGCGCATTTTCACTTTAAATTTTTCAGTTTCAACTGAAGGAAGTTAAAGAAGCATACCTGCTCTATATCCTTGGAATTGGCGGTCTGGTTTTCTCCCATGATTCCAGGCTGCTCATTTTCCCATGGTAATTTATTTTTTCCTTTTCCTGCACTTAATACCCGTCGAGTACAGATAGTTGGACTATAAGACCCATAAATTTGCATGCTATCCCTCCTGTGGTCACCACAGTGACAGTGTGCACTCTGAGTTCTGTTACCAGCCAAAAGCCAGTCTGTATCAGCTCCATGTGCCAAATGGCTTGACCTACCCTGGGCAGAAGATGGTACGAGAATAGCATATTCCACAAATCCCTGTTCTGTTAGCCTTGGTAGGGTTTTCCTAGCCAATCTGGCCTGTACAGCATTCATCACTCCATCTCCATTATCTTGCAGTTCCACAGTATCCACAGCTTTAAAAAGGATGCTGGTTTTACCCGAGCCCATTGATGATGCCAACACAGCAAAGGCTTCTAGAGCTGCTTGGCGTACCCTGCGTTTGCTATCTACAAGAGCTGGGGCAAGATCAAAAGACAGTTTGGGTAAGTCAAAATCCTCACTGGGATAGGTCAGAAGGGAGCAGATGCAAATGTTCACTACCTCCTCTCTAACTCTGGAATGCTTATGTTTGAGATGTTCCAGGAGCAAACAAAGCACCTGTTGAGGACCTACTTCTTTCATTAGCTTCAGGAAGATTTTCATGTATTCTTGTTTGATCACCAACTTATTGTCTGCCAACACTTTGACAGAAGCTGCTATAACTGGTCCCAAAAACTGTTGTACCTGCTCTCCAAGGCGAACAACCAGTAAATGCAGGACCTGAAGTGTGCCATGGACCACTTTGAAGTTAGAATCGTCTAACAAATTATACAGCAAGCTAATGAAACCAACAAGACTAGAATGAGGGGTAGAACTAGGATTAAATTTTCCCAGCACCTGCTTTAGTTCTTCAACAGCCTGAGTCCGGTTCTTATAGTCTTCCTGATCCAGCAATCTCGAATGCAACTCCTGAGGAATAATCCCAAATTTCAGATTACTGTTGGAAAGAGTCCCCGCACAAGGAAGGGGATCTTGAAGAAATCCAGAGGCTTCAAGTTCCAAATAATAAGGAACCTGACTTCCTAACTGGGACTCCATGAGGCGATTGTAGTGTCTCCTCAGGGCAGAAGGTAGGCGAGAAATATAGGATTGAAACCTCTCTTGGCCAAGTCGCTCCCCAATTTGTTGAAGTGCAGAGAAAGCTGTCTCAGATTCTTCTTCTATATCCTGATCTCCAAGCTTTCGGGCTAGGGATATTATCACCTCGGTGAGATCCAGGCCGAGCAACAAATCCTCAGGAGTAAGCAAGATAGGGAGCAATAATGCTGTGGAAGCTCTAAGCCGGGCATCGGTACTTTCCAGTCCCTGTTGTATAAGCGTTCTCAGCACCGGTCCAGAACTACGTTTCAGACATACGTGCAGGATCTGCAGCGCATCTTTCCTCAGAGCTGGATTCTCTTCTCGTAAGGAGACAACTAGTTGAGGCAGAAGTGCTAAATTAAAGGCCTCTTCCAGCTGGCCGGCCTCCCCCTGACCCCGAAGAACGTCCGAGAGAAGTTGCAAGCAGAGTCGCTTCTCATCACTACCTCCCTCCACAAGCACTCTGCCCAGGGCCCGATACAATGCTTCCTTGCGTCGGGGTAAACCAAGTCTACCGCCCCGCCACGGCAAAGCAGCCTGCAAAGCCTGGAAGGCCTCGGAAGGATCCGGCGCGGTACGAAAGAGTTGAAGGAGTCGAGTCTCCTCTTCATCTCCCCCTGACAAACCGCCTCCAGAAGCAGCCCAGCTACTTGAGACTGCCTCCGCCGGCATCAAAAGGGTCGATGAGAGAGGCGAAGGTGTAGGGGGGCAGGAACCGTGGTCCTCAGCAGCTCCACGGCAGTAGTAGTTTTTCTCTCCTCTCATGGTGCTCCCAACTCGATTATCATCAGTCTCTGGGGCTGAGGGACGACTGCGACTCCGGAGGCGATAGGTACAAAGGGCTGGAGGGGGCGACAGAAGGGACAGCGCGGAAGGCGCAGCCGCCATGGAGGGTCGTCAGGTGGCGATGGCTGGAGGGAACCATTGCCGTCTCCGAAGAGCTCGATGGCGCCCAGCCTTCCAGTTCTTCTCCAAGTCCCAGGATGCAGAGGAAAAGGAACAGCTTTAGCTAGCTGCCAGGCCGCCCCCGACTCCGGGAGGCAGCCTTTGGCAAAATGGCCCCCGCCTGAGCCCCAGACCCCACAGCTGCCACCGGGCGTAACCAGGGCCACCACGTGACCAAACCGATCGCTTCCATGGTGATGTGCCCAGCGCGGACCTCTTGACCCGGAAATCAACCTGCTGTGGTGAATGCTGGGTCATGTAGTTCACGTCAGGTGTTGCGATTAAGCAGAAGTCTCCTGGAAGAGGAAGTCAGAACACTGCAAACGTAGCTAGAGCGGAGAAGGAGAGGAGGGCTGAAGACATTAGGCGGAAATGACGCCCTCCTGGCTCCGGACGGAAGTTCTCCGCCCGGTCCCTAAGAGTTGGGGTTTGACCAGAGCAAGTAGGGTCCTGCCGGGCTCTGATTGTCCACGGCTCCCTCTCCTGTCGCTACGGGCGTGATTCCTGGGACTCAGGTATTTTTTTTTTGCTGTTCTACAGCGGCTCAGGCTTTGGCAGAGTTTTTCCCGAATGCCGGCTGGTGCTGTATTTTCTTTTTGCTGTTCTACAGCGGCTCAGGCTTTGGCAGAGTTTTTCCCGAATGCCGGCTGGTGCTAGACTCAGAGGTAAAGGAATGAACGGGAGCTGGTGGGGAGAGAGGCGACATGTTCTTGTGCAGGGCTCCTTACCGTTGTAAACATGTTACTCTCTACAACCCTAAGTGCGATCCTTTTCTCCTCGGGTCCTCTTATCGGGACAGGAGATCCGGACCAAGGCTCAACTCATATATCGGATACTTTTTTCAATTCCTTGTCTTTTGGGCCCTTACTCTCTTAGCCCTTCTCCCCCTTTCCCCCTTTCCTACTTCTCTTAACCCTCCGGCTGTGGAGGGTTAATGGTTTTCTGTCACTTTTCCTTAACCCCATCACTTTGAGTCCTCTTTAAAATGTACGTCAATCTAGAGATAAGTATTTTTTCCTACAGATAACCGCCTCTCCTCAGACGTTCTCAAAGTCTCTTTCTAATGCAGTTCCTCTGTGGGACTCAATCCCTCCCCCGCCCCCTCCCTCCGCCGCCCCAGCATCCCTGCAGGATCCTCAAGCGTCTCTGCAGCCTTTCAGTCTCCTGGAGACGGAGATCGCAAAGACAATTGCAGTTCGGAGGAAGTTCTTGGCATCACGGTCCTTAAGGGAATTCTGCCTTGTGGATTTAGTGTTGACAGTAGACATTTCTTTATTTTAAGGCGAACTGCCTCAGTTTGGTGGGCATTTTCTCCTCGTAAATGAAATTTAAGCGGACACAGTTGAAGAGCTTCAGTGTCTAGTGTGAGGCTGAATGATTTGGAATGTGGAAGAGAGGTTTTTTAAAGGAATAATATAATTGCTTTCGCAAGACTCAGTGAGAAAAGTCTGAGTTATCATCCGAAGTTCCAAATTTATGCACTTCTAATGCAAGTATTCCTACCCCGCTCTGTACCAGATGGAATATCTCTTAAATACTTTTAAAAATCTTGGAATGATTGAGTCACATATGTCAAATCACTTTATAAGTAATGTTCCTGGCTGATGCAAGTTCAAAAATAATTTCTGAATTCTGCCTTAAAGCGTAGTTTGAATATTATGTTTCTTTTTTATTTTAAAACTCGAATATTAATGTATGTAAGGCTATGTAAATATGCATCCTATGTTTTGGTTTGAATTCTCATTTGTTACTTTGACTTTAATTAGTCATTTTGGTGTTTAAATGAATCTGCCTAAATTTGGTTTGGCCTGCATATATCAGTGGACTAAAATAAAAATCCCCCCTTTTTTTGTTTCCTCGTTTTTTATTTTAGGGGCAAACTAAGGGCAGGGGAGTGAAAACCAAGAGATGCTTGTAGCAGTTGTCCGTGAGAAAGAATGTCTGCTTCTTCTATTTCCAACCTAAGAAGGTCAAATGTTTACTTTTACTCATGTATGCTCAGACTTCAGGAACCTAATTCAAACTAACGTAAACAAGAGAATGATGTACTCATTAGAATGTACAAATTAGAATGCCAGTTTATGTTGGAATAGAAGATAACCCTTTCCAGTGATCAGAATTTTCATGTTGAAAATCCAGAGCACTCTTTCCTGTGTCTAAGAACTTGGGAAGCCAAGTTAATATCTAGAGGTTGTGTGGTAATCATGGAATCAAAGAAAAGGAACTTGGAAAATCTTGAATGACATTTCATCATCAAAGTTATGGTAAAAGCTTACTCCTTCTCTCTGTAAAGAATATTTTCAAAGATACCTGTATACTTTAATCAGCAGTTATCATGTTCTTTTCCTCGGAACAAAGCAAGATGAGTCTTTCTTTTGACCTTTATTTTTCTCAGGTCCCTATAGATCATTATACCTTACAGACTACAGTTTATTTTATATCTGTTACATTTTGTCTTCTTGATGAAGACTTGGAAGATCCATTAGTTTCCATGGTGGATATTTAGGAAGCGGGACTTCATCAGCATCATATATCTTACCAATTATCTTGTAGGGTTACTTCGTGGAATATAAATCTCATCCGTTTAATGTATATTCTGTTTATTTCTATCACAAAATGGATTTTTAAAAAATCTTATTCTTCAATTCTAGGAATCCCTTGTGTATTGACTACAAAAGCCTTTTCTCTTTAGTCATAGATATACAGAAGGTACAAATTTTTAATCAAATTCCAGAATAGTGGAATACACTATTAGGTGTATTATTAATAGTATACATCACAAAGTTGAAAGGAAGTAGTTAAGGATACACTGAAAATTGCAAATTCAGATAAAATGAGTTAAAAATTTCAATCATTTTTAAGAGTTTAGTTAAATTAATATATTATTACAAGAATGTGTGATACGTACCTTTACTTTTTGAGCTGAACTTAAGTAGGGTAAACATAATTGTCTTAAAAACATCCTTTATTTCCACAGTCGGAGAAAACATATTAATTTGTTGGGTGAATTACTATAATTTTTTCTGTATTCTTACTTAAATTTTACAGACATCCAGGAATATTAGAAATCCGTGTGAAGTCTGTAAACTATTGAAAATTTTGTACAGTTTAAGAAGTTATTGTGAAGAAATTCTATGCAAATGAAAGATGCTATTAATATTAACAAGTAATTGTAATAATAGCATTTATTGTTTGCTATGTGCCATACATTGTGCTAGGTACTTAATGAATATTAACTCATTTAATCCTCACAATACTTTTTTGAGTTTACATCTTCTGTATTTGTACTATGGCAGATTTTATGAGTGTTTCCACTGGAGAGTAATTGGACTGAGGAAGAAAGTAAAACTCAAGTCAGTTTAGCTACTTGCTTATAGCTTTGGAAACGTTTTGGTGGAGGAGAGTGTTGAAACTATAGGACAAAATTAGATTTTTTTCACTAGTAATCTTTCATATCTCTTATTATATTTTATTTGATTACATATATTTTAATCTGTCCTTTTTCAGTATCTATTTTGAATCTTTTTAGTTTCTTGAGTCAAAACTTTAATAAGGTTAAGAAATTATGAGCTTTTTGTTTTTGTTTTTTAATGAGTTTATTTTTATACATATGGGATTAAGTAGGTTTTTTGATGTATATCAGTGATATATTTTCATCCACTTAGGTTTATGTTTCAAAGCCATTAATGCATTTCTGTCCTGAGTCAAATCTGTAATTTTAAGCAAAAATCCAATTTTCATTGCATTTTAAGCACTAATCTGTGTATGTTAACAGGATTTCACATGTGTTACAACCAGTTTTTCAGTAGACAGAGATTAATTATGTAACTTAGAGATTTTACGTGATGTACTAATGGCTTTGGTAACTTGGTTTTTTTCCTGTGTTATTTCTAAATGCATAATATTATGATTCATGTTATGACAGACTTCTAATTTTACTTTTGTTTCTCCAGATGTAATAAAAGCCAATCTCAGAGAAAAGGAAAATATGCTAATTTGTTCCATAGGCTCACTGATAAAATTTCATATAATCATTGGTTAAATTCTACTGTGAGGAAGGTTGAACTGTGGAAAAGAAATTTAAGAGAACAGATGTGATAAAATATACTCCTAATTTCATAAATCACACCCTTTACAGAAAAGTGTCTATTTGGATTTTTTTTAAAAACTATCCTCATTTCTCTTCATCGTTTATTTTTTCTGGTTGGGATCTATATTTATGTGGTATCAGATAATTGCCTCCCAACTGATTTCAGCACTACTGTTTTGTAGCTTAGGTGTCAATTAAGCAGACAGATACTAAACTCACAGCTTTACCTTTATTATCTAGGTTTCAGAACCTAAAATTGTGACGTTACTGTAGACCATAGAAAGTTTGATTTTATTTTAATTTCATCTAACATTTTATTTTGAATATTTATACAATAAGCGTATGATTAATAGTGAAGTACAATACTATTACTTTGTTAAAGCTTTTCAAAACGATACTGTTTATACAATCTTTACCAACTCGGTTACCTAGATTTAGAGTACTCTTAAGTATTCGTTTTATGGTACCAAATTAAGAACGCTCAGCCAGTGAGCGGGAACCGGTCTGTATGTGGGATCCGAACCCTCGGGCGGGAGCGCCGCCGCGCTTCCCAAGCGGCGCACTATCCAGCGCGCCACTGAATTAAAAAATATGCAGGGATGTGAAGGAACCTGCTATATCAAATCTGATATTAAACAAATAACAGAAGGGAATGATTGTTCCATGGATACCTCTTTATTTTATTTTAAAGCTCTGATGTATTTTTGTACCCGATCTGTGTGTATATTTTATATATGTATGATCTATCCTTTTTGGGTTTCTATTCTTCACGTTTTTAGTTTCTTGTTTGAGTTAAAATTTTAATAAGATTAAGAAATTATGAGTTTATTTAATAAATGAGGCAGTATAATAT